TAGAACAGATTCACCGATATACCGTCTTCATTGGGATACATTAAGCTCTAAGATAGCGTTTAGTTTGGCAAACGGCAACGTAATTAAAATCCTAAGCTGTTAATTATTATATATTATATAAATCATAAAATATAATCATCTTTATATTCATTTTGTAGGTAATTGTTATGGAGATGAAATAAATCAAATCATTAATATAAATTAAATATTTAATAATTATTTTTTAAAAAAAAAAAATAAAATAAATAAATAAAAACAAAAACAAAAATAAAAAGTAAAAATAAAAATAAATTTGAAACCTTTGTATAAATCCAAAGAATTTTATTATGTAAAACTTGCAAATAAATATAATTTACAAAATTTGTATAACATCTTATGAATTAATTATCGCCATAATAATATGATCATCGCCGATTTGTCTTAGTACACCATCCGCGAAAAATTTGCCTATTTTATTTTCTAGTCTTTCATGTAAATTCGGAGTTTCTTGCAGTTCAATATCAATTAAGGGATCTACAGTCTCTTTTAATTTTGCCAGTATGTCCTATCAATAAAATAACGCATTAATAATATTATTTATATACATAAATATTATAAAAAAAAATTTTATGCATACCACAATAGTATTATAACATTTAGTAGCAGCATCACGTTTTATTTGATCAGGATCATTTGCACAAGATGAAAGTAAATCACCATATGTTTTCAAATTTGGAACTAAAATAGATCTAATTACTTCACGACCTAATGCACCCATGGCAACTATACATCCATAATGAGTGAATAATGATTTACTAGTGTCCATAAAACAACTCATTAAATTTCTCGTGATTCGAGGCTGAAGAGTATTATAACTTGCACCATAACGATCACATATTTTGGCAAGGATACGTGCAGCCAATTCACGTAAGGACCAATGTTTATCACCCATTGATAATCCCAATTTCCTTCTAACCACACAAGTTAATATTGCTGGCATCAAATTATGCAGCTACAAATATTGTCACAAATAAGTACAAGTTTGTTATAAGTAAACAATTAAGAGCAAGATATCATAACACTCACGTGAGGTTCCAAAAAAAGGCTTTTATTATTTATTAAAGCCTCTGCCATTTTTAACATTGGCTCTAAAACATTGAAATTTTTCTTTACATGTATTCCAATCTATAATGATAGATTTTCTTATTAGAATTCATTGTTCAAGGATGACCAATTGAGGAAAAAAAAAAAACTTACTTGTTCACAAATAAACGATATGAAATACGGAAGAAGTTGAGCCAATCCTGTGTCATGTTCTAGACTATGAAGAACCGCAATTTTGGTTTTCGAATCCTTGATTTCTTCACTTCTCATAGCCTTTGTAACTCTTTCATAAAACATTTGATGTTCCATGGATAAAACATGTTGAATTAAGGGTTTAACCTCTACATTATTTGTAACAGGTAATCCAGCTTTAATCTGCAAATCATCACTTTGAGGTATGTTCTTTTTGCGCACTTCTGTTTTGGATGCTTATGACAAAAAAAAAAAGAATTATTAAAGCAGCAATGAATCTTTATTCATTTAAATTTTATTACCTTCTTCAGGTGGTGGAAGTGGAACTGGATTATGAGGTATTGATGGTTGTACACCATCTACCGCAAGCCAATGAGCTTTAAATGACAAAGAAATGTTAAAAAAGATTTTTTTTATTCGATTTACTTTGAAAATGCACTAACCGCTAAAAGAAATATCAGTAGGAACTCTGGGCATTGCTGAACTAATAACATTTTCGAATTCCCATTCATCATCTTCAACATAAAAGAGGTCGTGTTGGGCAGTCGTAATACGTTGGAATTTTGAATTGTCATTTAGGCTAAAACCGTATAACGGCTATTAATAAAATTGTAATGTTAAGTAACAGTTAAAAAAAATTATAATAATAATAAAATTATTTAAAACAACACTTACATCTACGTTACGAACACGTAAAGCATTATTGATATCTTCCCCCGTAAGTCTGGTTCGTTTTGAATGACGCATGAATTTGTTCGCTTCCTGTTCGAAGCATATTTCCGTAATAGTTTAAGTTTATAATTTTTTTTGCGGAACACTTGGCGATTTGTGAAAACGCAAACCACCTGTATTATCTCGTGGACTCTATATTCTACATCGTGCGCTAACGCGGAGGCTACTGTGTCTTTTAAGTTTGTAACTCCAACTGTTTCCGCGGTGATCTAATATGTTTTTATATGTTTCTTAGTTTTTTACAAATAATTAAAAATAAAAAAAAAAATTTTTTCTTAATTTAATTTTACCTTAATGGTATCCTTAGAAAATATCCCGTTCATTCTGAGTAGTCTTTTATAAGGAGCAGAACCTGTAAAAACAAAAAAAAAGTGTCGCGATATCTCTACGGTTTGTGTTTCTGTTCTGTGTATCTGTGTAGGATCCGATCCATCCGATCTTTATCGATTTTTAGACGATCTTTAGGATCGATTTTGAACCAATATTTAAAAATATTTATTTACGAAATGACTATTTCAATATCATAAAGATGTGTCAAAAAATGAAATATAACAATCGAGAAATACATAAGACCATACTTAGTAATCATACTTTTCATAATTAGTGAATAATATTGCCCTTGTTTAATTTTTTTATTATGACATTTATATAATTCTGCTTTATTATTTATTATAGGTTGCCTCGGGCTATATGCTTTGTTACTTAGTAATTCATTATGCGTTTCTACGTTACTATTTGAAGAAGCCATATTATTTCTAACGTTTCGATTGAATTTTTGAGCGGGACACGGATTCGCTTGATGAATGAGTCGATCCATAATTGTTTTTTAACGGATTCCGCCCCGGATGACGAGATCGTTCTGTGGGATTTTTCGAGAATTGTTACACTGCCTTGTTACTTATTATCAAATTTTTTTTTTTCCTTTTTTTTTTTTTTTTTAATAATCTCGAAATGCCATGTATGCATCATCTATAGATGGTATTTATAGTCAATATCAAATTATCGAAGGAATAAATTATATATTTTTTTAAAATATCATTACTTTAAGTATGTTGGGAGCTATACGGCAAGCTGCCCGTGTGAGGACTGCAAATTTATTTTCCCCGAATGTTACGAGACAGCAAATTTTCTTGCAAACTAGAAAGGTTTCTTTTGATATTTTATTTATTTATTTATTTATCTTACTTTTTCGCAACGCATAATATAGTTCTTAAAAAAAGTTGTTGGTGATAAATGTTTTTTTAAACACTGTAACCAACTAAACCATACCATATACAGAGAATTTATAGTACCGAAACAACTTCGAAGTCGACTTCGGATATTTCTAAAGCTGCTACTAACGGGGCCACCCCTTTTAAAGGTGCTACCCCTACTGAAACCGTTAAAGAAGAGCTCGCAGCCAATAATGCTGTTAAAGAAGAACTTGCAAAGAAAAAAGGATTTGGATTTGGTAAATTCATTTTAGGTATAACAATCTTTGGTGGTATAGCTTATGGTGGTGCTGTATATTACTCTCTTGAACATGAAGATTTTCGTGATGCTTTTGTTGAACATGTTTATGGAGCCGAAAAATCTGTTGAATATGTTGAAGATCTTCAAAGGCAAGGAACTTTTGAAAGAATTGGAAAGGATGTTAAACAATTTAACAATAAAGCTTTCGATAAGGGTAAGGATGTTTTTAATAGGGTGAATCAAATTTTTAAACAACCTGATACCGTAAAAGTTCCCATAGAAAAAATTGTTAAGGAAAGAAAAATAGAATTACCCGAAGATCCTATTCTCCTTAAACTTACTTATACTCTAAATGAACTCATTGACATTCTTGATAATTATGATGTTAAGGATAAAGACGATCTTATTAAAAGAGCAAAGGAAGAATTAAGGGAACTTGGTACTCATATTGATCTTCTTAGAATTGAAGATCAAGCAAGAATTCAAGCCCATATAACTGAACAAAACGAAAAGTATAATCAGCTATATGTTTCAAAAGAAAATGAACTAAAGCGACAATTAGAAGATGAAAAGAAACGCATTTATGAACAACATTATGAACAGTTTAATAGTGAACTCGCTCGTGAATCTGCCAGACACAACGAGGAATTGAAAAATGAGCTTTTTCGACAATCTGTTGAGATACAACGAAGATGGATTCGAGACGTTAAATTTATGGTTGAAAAAGAGCGCGGTGGACGTTTAGCAAGGCTAGACAACATTAACCATCATCTTAAGATTCTTGAACGTATAAGCGTAGATAATGCTGAACATTTGGATGATAGCCTTAAAACTCATAGATTATGGTGTGCGTTAAGAGCGTTACAAAACGCAATCGAACAACCTGATCGAATTCCTTTTGCTAATCAGATTGCTGCTATGAGACATTTATCTTCAACCGATGAAATTGTAACTACTGTATTGTCTACGATTGATGATAATGTTGCAAATAATGGAGTGGATTCCATATCAGATTTATCAGCTCGGTTTGCAACCGTAAGAGATGAAGTACGACGCGCGTCTTTGGTTCCTGAAAATGGTGGGGTATTCGCTCACCTTCTGTCCATTATGCTTTCAAAGGTTTTATTTCATAAGCATGGACTTGTGGAAGGGAGTGATGTTGAATCAATTCTTGCAAGAGTTCAATATCATCTTAACGAAAATGATTTAGATACTGCAACGCGAGAGTTAAATCAGTTAAAAGGGTGGCCAAAGAAATTGGCAGAAGATTGGATCAAAGCTGCCAGGAATCATTTGGAAATTAAGCAGGCGATTGAGGTCTGTATTTATAATATGACAAAATTTTTTGATTTATTTTATATATTTTAAAATAACGCGTTATATCTATTTTATAGGTCATTGAGACACAGGCCACATTATCAAGCCTTTCAGTAGTTTAGTTAATTTTAGATTTTTTTTTTTTTTTTTTTTTTTTTTTAAAAAAAAATCCTTAAATAATAAGCTATGATTGTGATTGCATAAGTACATGTCATCCAATCATGTCAAGATTCATCCATTTTAACTATTTCAGATGAAGCATCTTGAGCTGGCAATTTATCTACTTCTAAAATTTTTCCCAATGATGCAATTTTTTTATTTTGAGTTCTCATCTTTTCCGCAATAATTTCTTCCCTTTGCTTGTTCTCATTTATCAAATCCTTAAAATTCTCGTGGTAATCTCGTAGAAGAACTTTTTTAGCATTTTGCTGAACAATAAATAAATAACGCGTCCAAATCATAAATTTTTAAATTTAAAAAGATAAGATAAAAAATTTTATGCGTTACTTACCAAATTGAGATAAAGTTCATCACATACTGCATGAAATTGCGTTTTCATTGATTCTAAAGCATCTAAATCTTCTTTTGAGGGTTCATAACTCGTTTGCTGATGACTATAATAATAAAAAAAAAAAAAAAATAAGTCAAAATCAAAATCAAAATATCATCACATCGGATTGAACTAAAGTCATCAAAAGAATTTACTTACCTTGGAGCGGCTCTATGTTCAATGATGTTGCTCGTGCGACCATATATTGCCTAACATAAAAAAGGTAAGTAAGCTTAAAAATGCGTATTGAAGACATGATTTATTATTATATTTGAAAATGAATAAAACTAAATAAGAACATTTAATGAGGTTCTGAGCAACTGTATATTATTTTCTAGAGACGGAAAAGGATTGGAAGAAGACATTTTGGACGAGAAAGAATGAATGAAAATACGCTGAAACGGTCAAAATCATGCAACCGATTTTTATTATGTTGCACAAGTATTTATTTTTTTGGTAACACAGGTAAACAATTGTTTCCCAAAAGGTGTCAAACGTTTAGTGACATTTTATGACAGTTCATTTAATGTAGATGATTTTCTGCATGTACAGTACATCCAACTATAATAAATATAGAATAATTCTCAACCTCCTCCTTTTGGTTCAAGTGCCATAAAATCATGTGTCTTTGGTAAATCCAAGCCACGTGATAATCTTTATACCGTCCTTTCCTTAAAATTAAGATTACTTTAAATATGGAGGAACGGGAACAACGAAGATATGATTGTGTTTTAATAATATCCATTTTCAGGTAGCATAAAAAGACTTGTGAGAGTCTACCAAAGAATATATGAAGATATTTCCTTCCGTAAAAACAATTGTTTAGAATTTCTTATTGAAGAACGAAAAAAAATTCAGTATGTTTAATTAAAATACTCATATATATATATGTTGTCAAGTTATTGATACTTCAATTAGCATTAATTTTTCGTCAACCTAAGAAAATCGAATGAGGGTGTGTTAGATCACATGATTTGATAGATTTTTTGGCCCGAATTACAACATTAAGTGATATAGTCTTATGACAAATAATGTGAAAAATTAAATGTGATTTATTTACAATAAAGAAAATTTTGATTAAAAAAATAAGTATTATTCATTTATTTGATTTAAATTGTATTTGTTTATAAGAATTATAATCGAGTTTAAATTATTTTAAGCAATTACATATATTTTATATATATATTAGCATTTTATATAATTATTAATAAAATTTAAAAAAATAATAATATATTTATAATTATAAATATAATTATAAATTATAAATTAATTGTATTAATTGTATAATATACATTTTTTATTTTTATTTTTATTTAATTGATACTAAAAATATAATCACTAAAATATTATAATATTTTAAATTAGTTATATGATAAAAAATTTATAAATGTTTTTTATAAAATATCATTTAATACCAATTTGCTTGTTAATTAAATATATTTTTTAATATTTATATATATTTAATTGTATGAGATAATAATAAAAATATGATATAATAAAATAACTAATGATGAATTATGTATGATTAATTTAAAACAATCCAATCTGTAATTTGCTCTTGCACAAATGTTCCAACAAAAGATTTATTAAAGAAAAAGAAAACCAAAGGTTTTAAGAATAAAAAAACGTAAAAAATAAAAGTTATTACTAATTATAATAATGTGAAGCTAAAAAGATAAAGAGGGTTGATAAATTATTATGCAACTCTCAATAAGAAAAAAAGTGTCCATATAAAAAAAAAAAATGAAAAAAAAAAATTAATAGTTTTTTAACTACATAACACGTTAAGAGAAAGCGTAATAAAAAGTAATAAACAAAAGCAAAAAACAAATTAGCAAACTATCCAGACTATATCCCTTCTTTGGCACATGTGTACTGATTTAATAGTAAAATGATAAATGAAAAAAAAAGCAGAAAATTAATTTTTTAAACTAAATTAGCAAGTTGAAATATGAAGAAGGAATAGTAAATGGAATTTAAGCATATAATCTGTTAATCGTCATTCGTTTACACTTCTTTTTAATATGTCTTTCTCCATGATTGATCTGAGTGTAAAAATTATAAGTTATTAAGTTTATCTCGTTTTAACTTATCTATAATAAATACAGTACATACATGATATGATTTATTCCGGATCGGGGAAGTTTAGACCAGTGCTCATAGCATGCTGCTTCAATACATTAACAGCTTCATCGACCTTTTAAAGAAGGTAATAAACCGATTAATGAAAAATCAAAGTTTTAGAATAAACGAGAGAATAAATAATAAATATATGCTTACTTTAGAGTCAAGAGCGGCTTTATTTTCCAAAAGGTGCAACAATTCACTGTTGTCCATCTCTAATAACATACCAGTAATTTTACCGGCCAATTCAGGTTGACGGTCAGAGATTTTAGGGAAAAGTTGTTCACCAAGTATCTGTTTTTGTGCTTCGGGTGAAACTCCAGCGAATTTTCTAGTATCGAACACAGCAGAAGTGCTACTTTGTGAAACTGGTGCAGCATTACGAGCATTAGACAAACTTTGTCCGTTGGTAGCGCGATTATTCTGAGAATATTGGTTGTGTTGTTTGGCTGGTTGATATTGATTCCTAGCACCACGATTATTGGCATTAGGACGACCAGCGTTTTGTGGAGCACCTTGAGGACGCCCATTAGGACGATTAACTATTTGATTGTAGTTGTTGGTTCGGAGGTTTTGAGTTGAACCGGGGACGGGATTGATCATACCAACACTACCGTAAAAGTGAGAAGGACGACCTCCACCAATTCTACCATAAGTTCCTGGGTGAGCATAACCGACAGGCATATAAGCACCCGCACCCATTCCAACTGCCTATATATCATTTATTACGAATGAATATTAGAATCAGGTCGCAACTAACATAAATTTTTTTAAAAAAAAAAAATGCATACCGCTTGATGTTGCATACGGAGTTGATTCCTTTGGTTGATTTGAGCTTCTAATTGAGATTTGCGTACATCTTTACGTTGGGCAAGTGCAACATATATTGGCTTGCTACCAATCATCCTGCCATTCATTTCGGTTACAGCTTTGGTAGCTTCATCAGGAGAAGAAAAGCAAACGAAACCAAAACCTTTTGATTGATCCCTTTCATCCCTCATTACTTTAGCGCTTGTAATTACACCGTACACCGAGAATTCTTGTCGTAATTTTTCATCATCAATGTCGTCTTCAAGATTCTTGATATAAAGATTTACGCCTTGATATTTATTTAATTTTTCCATTTTAGCTTGTTCGTATTGGCGTCTTAGTTCTTCTTCACGCTCATGCTTTTTCTGAGCGCGAGCTACGAATAGCTTTTTGCCTTTGAGCTCGGTATCGTGAAGATCATTAACTGCATTAGCAGCTTCCTCATGATTCTCATAGTTAACGAAACCAAAGCCCTAATGGGAAATAAAAACGCATATAAGAAACTATATGAAATAGTAAATTACTAAATTCAAAATAAATTAAAAAGATTAAATACCTTGGAATTTCCATGTTCGTCTGTAGCAATGACAGCAGAAGTTATCAGACCGAATCTAGCAAATATATCACTGAATTCCCCTAAAGTGACTTCAGTATCAAGATTTTTAACATAAATGTTGGTGAATTTCGCCTTTATTTCTTCAAGTTTTGATTGGCGTTCTTTCTTAGGGACATGATGACCAACATATCTATAATAGTTGATGAACAAAAAGAAATTTTATAATGATAAACAATAGAAACCAATCAAGAAATATTCTAAAAATTATACATACACTTTCTTATCATTTAACAACATCCCGTTGACGGAATTAATAGCATTTTCAGCTGCCTCAGCAGTTTCATAGTGTACAAAACCATAGCCTTTAGAGACACCATCATCCATGGCAACTTTACAACTAAGGATATTACCAAATGCCGAAAATGTATCATGAAGAGCCTTATTGTCAATCAACTTATCAAGGTTCTTGATAAAAATGTTGCCAGTTCCAGTTTTTCGAAGGGCAGGATCACGTTGAGACCACATGATTCTGCATGGTCTATTCTTGATTAAAGTATAGTTGAGCGATTCAAGAGCACGCTCACCTAAGTATGAGAGAGAGAAAGAGAGAAAAGAGATCAAATTAGTCAAATATTAAAATAAAAAATAAAATAAAAATATTTGATCTTTTTAATAAAATTTTTCTTTAGCTAAAGACTATATGCGCAGTAAGCGTTAAATCATTTGTAGAATGTCGCGGTTATTTTAAAGTCTACTTAGAAATCACCAGAAATATAAATAATTTAATAGATCAACAGAAATACCTACCGTCTACAACGTTATGGAAATTAACATAAGCATAGCCAAGAGATCTTCTGGTAACAGCGTCTCTACAAACACGGATGCTGGCAACGGGACCAATGTTGTTGAACAGTTCGAAAAGCATAGCCTCTGTGACGGAGGGATCCAGCTCGCCGACGTAAAGAGATGCAGAGGCTTGAGGAGCAGCAGGCGGGACACCAAATGGAACTTGAGTGATTGCAAGTTGTTGCTGTTGCTCAACGGAAATTTGAGCGCCAGGGTTAGACATTCCTGGAACAACAGGGTTAGTAGAGGGAGCAGAAACAGCAGCGGACATTTTTGGATTGTGAATAAAGGAATTTGGTGTTGAGAGGGATTGATGGATCGTTATAAAGGATGTATGAAACTTTATATATTTGAATCTAAAGAGAAGAGAACTCTTTATATATATAATATTTTTTTTTTTTTTTTTTTCTTTTCTAAAAGATAAAAGGCGTGAAATATAAATTTTTTTGTTTTTTTTTTTTTTTTTTTTTATTTTTTTTGTTTTTTATTTTGTTGGAACAAAGGCAAGAGTAAAAAAAAAATAAGGCGGAGAGAAGCCACGATGTTGCAGCAAGAGTTAAGCTTATAAATAAAATCATTTTTTGGCAACCTACCAATATGATTGGATACTGAACAATTTTTTAAAAAAAAAACTGCGCATTGATCATAATTAGGAACCAAAAAAAGTCACCGGGAATTAGTAAAATGCATGTAATTTAGAATCGGTATACAAATCAAATACAATACACAATAAAAAATCAAATGATTGCTGCGGCTGCATATCTTATTAGCGTTATTTTTCAAACGGTTGGTTAAAGAATAATGTATCCACCCCATTTTTGAATATTATATTTTGATACAGTGCATCAATATGTATTGATTCTACAACTACTAAAATCTTGTATTTGGATATACCAAAGTTTCCGTCCCGCGTTATATAATATAAAGGACATCATTTATCGAATAATACAAAGTTGAAACCTGTATTTAAAACTATTGTGATCTATTTGAAATTTCAGAAATTAAGTCAAACCGTTTTCTAGTTTTTTTTTAGTTTCTATTTGAACTATTTAATAATTAGTATTTGAATCATTCTACTATTTTTTGATAATTAATACTCTCTTTTAAATATAAGCATTTAAAAAATTTCTAATATCAGAAATTTGCTCTTTTTTAATTTTATTATTAAGAATAATTTTTAAATAGAGATATTATATATTGGAATATTACATTATATATTTACGTTTTTTTTTTATTTCCATTAAAGCATTTTGTAAGATTATAGATAATATTTATGCAATATTACATTTAAAGTATTTTGCAAGTTTAATACATGCTATTTACATCAATAATAATGTATTTTGTAAATCTATAATCTAACACTTTACACGAGATTATATTCAAAACATATTGTTCTGCAATGTTCTATAATCTGCAATACTTACAGTATATTAAAATTTTTAATAATAAACAAAAAATTTAAATTATATAAAAAAAAAATTAAAATACAAATAATTTTAATTTTAATTATAAATTTTATCTTAAATAAATTCTATATTAATGATATTTAAAAGATATTTTAAAAATTTTAAAAAGTTTAAAAATCTAATTATTAAAGATTTTTATTATTAACTTTATTTTATTTTATTTATGATTTATTAGAATTAAAGTTATTAGATAAGCCTATAGGTTTAGCAGATCATTTAAAAGATAAAAGTAAATTTTAGTAAAATTATATTAATACTATAAAATTTAGAAAAAGGTCAACATAATTTAAACAAACAAATTAATAGTAAAAATTAGTTATTTTTCAAAAAATTTTTAAATAAAATCTTTATATTATACAAATTTATATTATAAATAATTTGTAAAATAATTATAATAATATATAAATTAAAGGATTATAAAATCAAAATCTAAATTATCACTAAATATAAAATTTTTATTAGAATATTAGTATATAATAGTATTAATAAAAAATTTAATAAAATTAAGATTATAAGATAAAATTTAATGATTTAATAAATATTTAAATAGTAAAAATAAAAAATTTGATAAATTATATTAAAAAATCTACAAAATTTAAAAATAAATTAATTACATAAATTTATAATTATAATAAAATTAAGTAATAAGAACTGTTAAAGTATCTGAAGTGTTTTTGAATTCACAAATTTTAAAACTTAGTAAAATATATAACTAAAAAAGTATTATAAAACAAAATACATAATTTAATATATTATACCTGATCATAATTTCTGATTGACTATATCATATATACAGATAGATAATATATAATAAAAAAAATAGGATTTCTATTTGAAATACAAATTTCATTTCAATATTTGAAAGTTTTTAAAATAAATTCATAAATGTTTAAATGATTTTAATGACTTTAGATATCAAAAGTTATTTTAGATATCAAAATCAATTTAGAACTAAATTATTTTAAATATCTAATATTAAATATTTTTTTTTTATTTATTTTTTGATTTTTTTGATATTTTAAAATTTTGATTAAATAAGCTTTATTTTATTTATTTTATTATTTTAAAATAAATAATCAATAAATAAAATTGATTGAAATAATTAAAAATTAATAATAATTAAAATGATATTTAAATTGATTTTGATATTTAAAATCAATTTGATATCTAAACTAAAATTTTAATATTTGAAATTAATTTATATTCAAATATTAATTATATATTTTTAAATATTTGAATTTTATATATTTACAAATAATTATTCAAATATTATATTTTCAAACAGAAATTTTAGAATAAAAGTATTTTACGCTTATATTTCAGATAATTATTCTTTTAATATTTTAGGTAATTAATGATAAAACTATTATTTATTAACAGTTTTTAATAGTTTTACCTCTAATTTTCTATTATATACATCTATATATTTAGGATTTACATGTAAATTATTAAATAATTATTATAAAAATGCTTTTAAGATTTTAGAAATATATTTAATAAGTTTGTATAGTTATATTTATATAATCTTCTAATTTCTTATTTTATAAAATATTAGCATTACTTTATAAAATTACATTTATAATAAAATATATATTTTAATTCAATAATAATCTCATTTAATGTTAATCATTACTTAAGAAAGTCAGATTATAAAGATATTATTTATTATAAATAGTAGGTTAGTTTTATTAAGTTATTATTAGTATTTTTTCTAGAATACTTTTTATATATTAAATTAATCTTTTCTTAAACTAAAGATTATATATAATCATAGGTAAAGCTTTGAACAGTTCAGTTCAATCCAGATTAGATACCAATCCATATCTAAACTGAAAATTTCAGTTCAGTTCAGTTTGGATTATTAATCTTAAAAATGCTAATCTGAATTCGAACTGAACTGCAGATCAGTAAAAATCTAAACTAAACTAGAATTTTCAAATTAATCTAAAATTACAGTTCAATTATATAAGGAATCCATAATTTATTTGTGAAATCTAGAAAAATCGCAAAAAATCGCAAATTTCTCTTCAAACTTTGCGAAAATTTGTGAAATTTGATGAGTAATCGTAAAAAATCGCGATTTTTCAAGATTTTTGCATTTTTTTATGAAATTCAAAGAGAAATCACAATTTTTTGCGATTCTCCAAGAATTTGCGAAATACTAAGAAAAATCGCAAAAATTGTAATTCTTCAAGGGTTTTGTGATTTTTTTGTAAAATTCAAAGAGAAATCACAATTTTTTGCAACTCTTTAAAAGTTTCACTAAATTTTTACAATCCTCTTAGAGAATTCGTAATTTTTGCGATCTTTTAAGAGTTTTGCATATAATTGAACTAAACTTTTTGATTAATTTGAAATTATTAATTCAGTTCAGATTTTTTCAATTCAGATTAGAATTATAATCTGAAAAAAATCTGAACTGAACCAAAAATTTTTAGATTGATTTTATGCAATCTGAAACTGATCTGAACTGAAATGATCTGAAAAATCTTCAGATTAATCTGAACTGTTCAGAATTTTAATCATAGGTAATTGTATTATAATTATTTTTTTAGATTTTCCTACTAAATATAATTGATTAAATTCTTTTAAATATATATTATTATCTAACTATTAAAATAAACTAAAATACTTAATTGATTAAACAGTAATAAGTTTAACTTAAAACTCATATTTATTTAGAAAAATCTTTATTTAAATTCTTTTTAAAAGCAAAAAAAAAAAGTATTATATAGTCAACTCTCAATATAACAAATTTTAATGTAATGAATTTTTTGATATAACAGATCTTCAATGTTATACTGATTTATATATATATAAAATTTTGCTATACTGAATATTACTAATAAAATACTATACACTATTTAATGAAATAAGCTATAGAATAATACATTTAAATAACTCGTTTAATAGCGAACTTTTTTATAATGAATTTTTTTAATTTAACAAAGATGTTTTCACAAAATATATTTTATTATAAAAGATAATTTAACATTGATTTTATATAGGTTTTTTTCATATGTAGTAACTTCAAGTATTTTTATAAAATAAATAATGTTAGATATTTGTGTTTCATATTTTATTTCATTTTACTTCACCTCTTTACATTACATAACTTTTTTAACATGTCAAAAGTAAATAACAAACAAAATAATAAGTTTTTCAAAAAACGCAAGTCTCTCATTATGATATAAAAAAAAGAATTTGTCAAAAAAAATATCTACACCCTCTTTAAAACAAAAAGAATTAGCTATTGCATATGATGTTAGTGAAGGGATAATTAGTGATATTTTAAAAATAAAAGACCATTGACTTGCAATAGATTTTAACTCATATCAAGCTAGTTTGCAATATGAAAAAAGCTTATTTTTATTGCTATTAAAGAAGCTTTAGCTCTTTGAGTAAAACATGCACTTGAAGTTGATCTTAACCTTAGTAATGATATTCTTTTAACTAAAGCTTTATAGTTTGCTTTTTGTGTAATGAAGAAAAATTTAAAGGATCTGATGGATGGGTTACCAATTTCAAAAAAAATATAATCTTAAGTAATACAATATATATAGAAAAGCAGTAAGTGTACTACTATAAAATCTTAATGTAATGCATAAATATCTTCATTAAATACTAAAAAATTATAGCCTTGAAGATATTTTTAATTGTGATAAAATAGAATTTTTTTGAAAAATATGTTTTAATTGTATAATATCTAATAATCCTGTAGCTGATACAAAATAATCAAAAGATTATGTAACTGTTTTGCTAACTTAAAATGCAACTAGTAGTGAAAAATATGCCTATTATTTATCTATAAGTATAAAAATTCTTGTGTTCTCAGAGGTATAAGTAAAAATACGCTTCTAATAAATTATTACTGAAATTCAAAAAGTTGTATATAGGTGTTGATCTGAAATGAATATCTCAAAAAACTTGATTCACAAATGAGAGTACAAGGCTAAAATATCCTTCTCCTAGTTGATAATGCTCTGACCTATTCTTTATATGAAAATACAAATCTTACTAATATTATTATTAAATATCTTCCTCTAAACACTACAGCATATTTACAATCATGCAATCAAAGGATTATTAATAGTTTTAAGATACTTCAATTCATTAATATTTTTAATTTTAATATACAGTAATAATGTTTTAATAAAATAGTTTCTTTAATAATTAGACGTAATATCAGAAATTATTATTAAGAAATAGAGTTAAAATTTATAATAACTATAATGAATATAGTATTAAACTTATTGAAATTAATGTCAAAAAATGCATTAAGTATATTGCGTATATATAGGATACAGTTACATAAATTACGATTAAAAACTGTTAGTTAAAGGCAGGCATTTTACCAAAAAATAATGATGATAAAATTGATATAGATTTTGATGTTGAGAGAAAGGTTTATAATTTATATGAAAAAGAATTAGATAAAATTCAAGAATTAATTAATAAACTTGATATTAAAAATCCTTTTACTATAGAAGAATACATTCAATATGATGGTTCAGAAATTACAACAGATATAATATCTAATGAAAAGATTTTAAAGGTAATTTTTTCTAACAATAATGATAATCAGAAAAAGAAAGTATAAGATTCAAATCTCTTGTTACTTATTACTCATAATGCAGCTATTGATTATTATGATAAAGTAATTCTTTATTTAGAATAAGAAGAAAAAATTTCAGTTTAAAACATAAGGAACTGAAATATATTAAAAAGCTAAAAAAAGAAGCTTTAAAATAATATTTTTTTTCTGCAAGGTAAACTGATCTTAATAGTTTTATTAATATAAATTGAGTTATAATATATTGTAATATATAATATTTCTATAATAATAATAATAATAAATTATAATGTAAATATAGTTTACACTGTAACAGAATTGGATTAATGAACATGACGCAGTATATTGCAGATCTAAATGTTAGATATATCGGACATATTTGATATATTTAATATAATTGATATTTTTGACATATCAAACATATTAGATATATTTAATTTATTTGTTATATCCATCTATGTATTAATTTAATATAAATAGAGAACCATAAAATCATGTAAACAGTAGTTCGCTTTTAGTTCACTTTTAGTTTTTCCTTTAGCTTTACTTTTACATATATCTAGTAGTTTTTGTAGAGGCGCCTGACTTAACATTTCATTTAGTATTTTAATTCTTTTGATTTCTCTTATTCTTTCCTATTTTCTTATTTTTATATACTATTATTATCTTTTCTTTTATTATTTATCGTCAATAAACATATTATTATACCTCTGAATCAATTGAGTTGCCTTGCTTCTAGTCTTATCGTGAATACACTACCATATAGATTATAAATCTTGAGTAAAACTGAATTGAGTCATTACGTAAACTTAAAAGAATCACCACTCAAACACCCTGTCTAACAGTCACAACACTTAGAATTACTTTAAAATTTAATTTGACTCCTTAAAATTTATTATAGAAATATAACAAATAATTCATTATATGATATACTTATACTATACTGAATAATTTATTATAATATTAACAAATTTTTTTATAATAAAGACTTGATTAGTCAAACTATTAACTTTGTTATATCAAAAGTTAACTGTATTTTTTTAATCATTTTATTCTAGTATTTATTTACAATCTAAGTTTTTAAGCCAGAAAATATGAAGATTTTTACTGATTTAATTCTCAAAATACTTTAAATTAATTAGAGATATATTCTTATATATATAATGATTATATAAATATTAATAAATAAATTAGACTTTTATTCATTATAAGAATTTTTTTAACAAATAAAATGAATACATTCAAAAGTTTATTTTATAATAAATATTTTATTATTTTATAAATAAGTATGATTTTTTAAGAATTTTAAGTTTATACTTATAAAATTTCAATTTTAAAAGTTACTTTAATATGGTAATTTTCTAAAACTATTTATAATAAAATTTTTATTAGTTCAAAATAAAGTAAAGGATTATATATATAAGTTTAAGATTATATAAGGTGTTTCATTGTCTGTTCGCTTAATAATTAAATTAATGTTAATTGACTCTTACAATTACATAAAAATTTAGATAAAATTTCAGACTTAACAATGGGTTTCCGTTTCCCTAGTACTATTTTCTTATCTTATTACAGAATAATTATATAATAATTTCTTCATCTAAATTAATGTTCATATCATATTGAGATAATTATTATTTAATTATTTTATAAAAACTTTATAATTAATGAAATTAATAATCAAATAATTTCATAAAATATTCTAATTATTACTTTATTATTGTTATATTCTTCTTCTTAATTTTTTTCTTTAAGTTTTTTTTTAATATATCTAATTTAGGCTTGTATTATATATAATTAATTCTTATTATAACAAACTCTATGTCTTAGACCTTAACTTTATTATAAGGTTATAATGAAGATTTTAAGAGATTTGATTGGCTAATTCATTATAGCAAGAGTATTTTTATTATATTTGTTCAAAAAATTCATTATATTAAGAATTCGCTATATCAAAAGTTGACTATATTATTATAGTTAATGATTTATCTTTTTTTATTAATTAATTTGTTTAGACTTAATTAATATTAATTTACAGATCTTTTATATTATATAAACCTCTTATAGATTATTTATTATATTATATATTTTTCCTATGTAGATTATTTCTATTATATTCATAATATTTATATTATAAATTGTTTGAGTTATAATATGTAAATCTTTTAATATAATTAGATATGATAATTTATTATTTTCTAAAACTGATTAAAAAATATTATTAATTTTTTTTTATCCTTTTAGTATACTTTTCTAATTCTAATTTTTTCTTATTTTTTTTCTATAATGTTAATTTTAAATCTTTAGTATATACTACTCTAATACTACTTATAGAATTTTTATACTAATAAAAAATTTTAATAATAAACTTTTTTCTATTTTCTAAAATACTTTAAAATTATATTTTATTCAGCTTTATCTTTTAATAATTATTTAACAATATCATCTTATGACTATTCTTTAATTACTTTATCTTCTATCTATTCTTTAGTAATTTATTTATTAGCAGCAGTTTCTATTAGTTTAAAAATCTTTTTATAATGGTTTTTTTTTAAAATAACTTGAACTTAAAATACATAATAACCTTTTTTTATTGATATTTTGCTAATTTGTTGATATCTTTTTGTTTTACATAGCATTTTAAAAATGTGAACTAAATGTGAAATAAAAGGTTATCTGCTAAAAAAAAAAAATTTTAATTTATTCAAAGAGTATAATTAATTATGATAATTTAGACCGGCATTAATTATTTTATTTTGGCCCGAATTATCATAAAATTTTGACCAATAAAATTTCATACACGTGATTTGATTTGTTTCAAATTTGGGACCAGTCATATAAAATTCTCAAATTTTAAACGGCTATAACTTTTTTTTATGTATTCATCTTGAAGAATAAAACTTTTATTTTTTTTTAAAATTTTGAAAGATTTTTAACCTAAGTTTATCAATACTCAATACATTTTTTTTGCGTAATAATTTTACAAAAAGTTTGGTAAGCGCGGTTTGTGCGGGCGTTTCATACTACTTTTTAACTTATATATAAATTGTGTTGCATTAATGGGTCAGCCACTAATGCTTTAAAAGGTCTTCGTCGTATGGTAAAATGAATCAAAAAATAAATAAATCACCGAAAATATAAATATCCGGTTTCACCAAATAAAGTCAAAGCAAATGTTGCAAGCAGATTTTTTTCTAATATTATAATACCGATAAACTAATTTTAATCATACAGTAAAAGAAATTTATCTTTTTAAAATTTAAAATTCAAAATTAATCTACGAGATTATTTTTTTTTTTAATATTAATCATGAAAATTCCATTCTTTTAATAAGGCAATTTCATTATTCTATATTCCCAAGCTTTTATTAATTCATACTGTTCCTTACATCCATAATATTGAGATTTGCTTTGAACATGAGGTCTTGATTTGAAAGAACTTGTGAAATGCTTTGGACTAAGAAAGCAAGAATGTAAAAAAAAAAAAATTAAAATTAAAAATTAAAACAATTAATTGCATTAAAAGAAAATGACAATCATACTGTGCATTTGTACATGTTGAACCCCGCGGACAAAATCCTGACAAGTAAAGATCACACAAAACGCGACGTATATGTTTGTATTTACAAGTTTGCCCTTCGATAAGATAAAATAAAGTATTAAGATTAATAATCTGATCAACAACTCATTTTCAAATAATCTAATAATTACCATATTTACAAAATCCACGCTCATAAGCTCGACACTTTTTTTGAGATTTGTTACTATTAACACCTAAACTATGAGAAAATACACAAACATCTCTATTACATGATCCAAATTTCTTCATGGTTGGACAATACGGCATGTTATCAAACTCATAGGAATGCAAATAGGTACAATTAATGCGAAAACATGATCCGATCAACCAATGTTTGCACACTATATCATTTGCGTTTCGTCGTCGTTTGATGGTTTCTAATAAACGTTATAATCGTATTTTTCAATAAGATTACGTTAAAATAATTGTGTTCTTTTCAACTATTCTATAGAATACATACCGTGTGATCTTTCAATTTTCTTCTGAATTATAGCCTCGGTATGAATAAATTGTTCAAAATCAAATTTGAAATTGTCAAGGTTAGGTTTGAAGATATCTATCTTCGACATGATTAAAAGAAAATAAGGTCGGAAAAGATTTTAAAAAGAGTAAATAAATTGAGAAAATTTTTGTAAATAAGGGAATCTTTGGAAATAGTCATTGTTATACATAACGGAAAATGTATAAAATATATGCTGACAATTCATACTAAATGTGCTGACGACGATTAGAAATGGACAATAAATGCGGCTTTATATTCCAGTAGTAATGAATTAAATTCGTATTAAATTTTTTATTTTGTTGTATTTTTAATGAAATCATTCAGCTGCATATTTAAATCTTTCATTATTATCGCTCGTATAGATATAACATTTATGTTAAATGTTTTTCCAAATGGATATACGAATTTTTTTAAACTTTATCATATAATCTTTATCAAATAGTTTAACTCATATCGATATGTAAAAATCTTTTAATTTTATTAGCCTTTATTTTGCTTTTCTATTTATTGTTAACATATTAAATAAATATTATTTTATATAAATCATTAGATAACCGATAAAATAAACATTATATTATTTCTCAAAGTATTTAATATGCAATTTTGTTTACAAGCTTTAAAAAAAATATTAATTTCTTTACGTTAATAAAAATAAAATATAGATTTTAATAATTATTATATGATGCAAAAGATCTAAAGCCACCATTTTTGGTTACCTATTTTCAAGTGACCGATCAATAGATTATTTTAAATAAACTCTCTGTTAAATGATAGATTAGATCATTGCTTTCCACATGACAGAGCCCTTTTCTTGTTAAATAAATTGTAAAATTAAATATATAAAAATTTAAATCGGGGTATTTTATTAAAAATAATACGAATTTGGCCATCATAAAGTCGGGAAAATATCCAATGGTTTGTCACCATCTTTTTTTTCTTTCATTTCAGTAAGATCATCTTCTTTTTTTATATTATTTGCATTGTGTTTAACATTATAAGTAACTAATGCAGTAATAACGTATTCTGGGTCAAGAGTAAAGTAATAATTTAATTTATCTTGTTTATCGGTAGATCACTTGGAAGATCCAAGATTTCACTTAAATAAGTCCTTAGTTCAGTAATTAATCTGCAATTTCCTTAACTTTTATACTATCCTTTTTAAAAAATTTTTCGTCACCATAGTTTCTTCATTCTTCAACTTTACTTTCAGAAATGTCAACATCAATTTCAAAGATATTTTCGAGATCGTCTGCCCTAAGTAAATCTGTTTCTAAATAATTACTAATCGAGGCTAAATCAGCTTTCTCTTCTGAAGAAAGATTACCAAATTTTTCTCCTTTTTTTAGATCTTGCTTAATAGTTTCTAAGTTTGATTGCTCCTTTTTTTAAATTCTTTCCTTAATTTCACTTGTTTAATCTTTCTTCAAACCATCACCTATCCTTTTTCACATATCATAAGTCTTTATCATAGCATTCCTATTATTTATCCACTGCATTAGATTATTATCATACTAAGCGTATCTTGCATTTAAGTTTTACCAGTTTCTTTTGCTAGTTCCTTCACTAACCAATACAAACTTTTCATCATTAAAACCTCTTGAATAGTTATATCTTTCATTCCAGCTGGTTTGGTTGCATTAGCTGAATCAGTTACTTTTTTACTAAAGTATTCTAATTGTGCTTCTAACTGTTCAATATTACTATTTTTAAGCCTTTTAATACTATCATTGATAACTTTTAATTCCTTTGATTTAGCATTTTCATGACCATTAATTTCAAGTCTTTTATTTAATTTATTTGACTTATTTGCTTGCAACTGCTTAGCAAATTTATCTTACCTTACAAACTTCAGTTTCTATTCTTTCTCAAATTTTGTCTATCATTAAGATCTTTTTTGGTGATTTCAATCATATATAGAATTACTAAATTATTATTTTTTAGAGTTATATAATTCGTTGCTTTTGCATCTTTTCTATGAGTATGAAAAATCTCAAATACTTTAAAATAATATCATATAAAACTTCTTCTCAATCATTCTAAAAAATATTTAGATCAACATGCTAAGCATCATTAAGTGTACTAATTTTATCAGTTACTTTAACATTAGTGTTAACTATCTTCTTAAAACAATCTCTATAGGTCGTCACAAAAAGTTCAGTATTTAAACCAACTTTTTAAGCATATAACTCATTATTATAAATTGAGATCTTATTCTTTTAAACTATCATAATATTATTTCTATGTTCATATACAGCTTTCTTATATGCTGTAAATTGAATTGCTTTCAAATCATAATAAATTTACCAAGAAAAATTCAGAAATGTTTTTTTCTTTAAGATTATTTCAATTGAATTATAATTTTGTAAAATAAAAAGCCTTATCATATAGATAAACAGACTTAAGATGTAAAGCTTTATAAGTTTTACCACCCAAAGTATTATCTTTCCTACTTTACTAAAATATAGTATGTTCAGAAGTCAAATTATTATTACTATTAGTAAAAGGTAACACATTTTTACCTGCTTTTAAAAATTCAATATCCTTAGAAAAATTAGCAGTTCTTTTATAAAAAGAGTATGCATAAAAATATAAAACAACACTAAAATGTAAAACATATTCATGAGATTCTTTTAAACTCTGAGTAATTATAATATTTGATAATTCATCAAGTAGATTTTTCATAAGAAAACTTTTGAGATGAATTATAAAATAATCACCTATCGCTTTATCACTAGAAGCAGTATTTATATTATTTAAACCAAAATGTTTAAAATAAATTTCTATTATCTCTGGATTAACACTTGCTTTTAAAGTTTTTTCAAAGGTTTTTTTTTAGTTTACTAATATATCAGCATTACCAGAAAACTTTTTCCAATTAAATCAAAAAGTTTTTTTTATCAAATTATTTAAAAGTTTTTCTTATTTACCTCTATAAATAAGTAGGATAAGTATATTTTTTATTTGAATAAGGCTTACCAATACCTGTAGTGATAATTGATCCTAATTTATTAACAGTTACAGTAGTATTAACTTGATAAATTATATTGACAATTCTTTTAAAATTCTATAATCAAGTTGATTAGCTGCTAAATCAGCTTTTAAAACATTAATTATGATCTAAACTTTATTTTTATATGTTTTAACTTCTATTTCTGTTTAATGCTTATTTATTTTTTCTGAGCTTTCTTAATCTTTTTATTTTACTTTTTACTTTCTTTTATAATATTAGATAAACAGTAATTACAACTTTCTTTTTTACTTTTAATTTTCTATTTACTCTTTAAAATTAAATATTCTGATAACTCTTAATTATTTTATTAATTTCTTCATTTTTCTTAATATTAACTATTTGATAAACAATAATATCATCATCTCTAAGTCTTTTTTTAACCATCAAAATAATTAAAAATTTATTACCATTTTTACTTAAATTCTAACTAAAAATTTTTTATTCATCTTTTAACTTGGTTTGAACCTTTTTAAGATTATCTAGCAAAATCACAGTTTTTTTACTTTATTCATTTTAGAGATGCTATCATCATTTTTTAACTTACTATCTTCAAAGATTGTTTTTCAGAATCTTTTTATTGCTTACTATTATAAAGGTAATTTTTTGATTTTTGAATATTATCAACTAATTCTACTAGTATATCAGTTAATTTCATTAATTATTTGTCTACTATAATATTTTTTATTTATCCTTTAATATATTTTATAAATTTTAAAAACAAAACAGTTAACAATATTTATTAAAATTAAAAGATAATAAAAACAATCAAAACTAATAAAGTGATAAATATTTGCAATTTCTTGCCTTTAATTATTTCTTTTAATTAAGTTATTTCTAGTTCATATTTTAAAATTTATTTTAAATATTTTATTCATTTTAACATAGTTTATTAGTTTTAGATAAGTTATATTTTAGAATTCATCTTTAACAATAGACAAATATTATAATAAAAAAATTCTTACTTTTTGTAATTCAAATGAGAAGGGATTAGTATTAGGATTGAAAATAATTTAATTTTTTTGGTAATTTAAAAATACTTGCTTTTTTAATTTTCAATAAATTAAATTCAATAAATATCAATAATAATCATCTGAGTTTTAATGATTTCAAAATTAGCACTTTAAATAAAAAATATTGATATTTTTACAAATTACTCAATTTTTTAAAGAAAATTTCTAACACTAAATTAAGATCTAAGTATTAAAAGTCTTTTCTATTATCATAACATTTAGCTTTGTTTAATCCAGCTGCATACTATCTTTTCATAACTTTAACAATATGATTTACACAATTTATAATCATTTTGTAATATAAGCAACTCTTGTTATAATGAATTCTATATTCTAGACTTTAACTTTATTATAAAGCTATAGTGAAAATTTTAAGAGATTTGATTGGTCAATTCATTATAATAAAAGTATTTTATTATATTTGTTCAAAATATTCTTTATATTAAAAGTTTGCTATATTAAGAGTTAATTATATAGTTTCTTAATTAATCTAAAATTACTATGATACTTAAATTTAGTATATTTAGAAATCATAAAATTTAATTCAATACTTTTATAATAACTGCAAATTATTAAAAACAGGTAAAATCTAATAGTAACATTATTTTTATTCTAATTATTAATATTATCACAAGTAATTTTTTAAATATTTTTCACTTTTATTCAATCTCTTAATTTTATCAAATATTATACTTAGCATATCATTAGTGCCTTTGCTGATAATTCATCTTTATCAAAAATATAATTAATTTATTCAAATATTATTTCATTTTGAATACTATTTTTTTTTTTTTTTTTAAGTTACAGTATCCAGTACATAGGAATCTTTAAACGAAGTATTAAGGTGTTACTCTTTACACCTGAGAATCCCTCAAAGTCGTGACTAGACATATAGTTCTAGCCAGAACTCGCTCTATAATACTGATCTGAAGATTGCTACCTAAGTCGACATTCCCAAGAGCTAGCCCTTTCATTTTGAATACTAAACAAATGCATTTTATATAAACTGAGATAGAGTTCTGAATGAGTCGAGTCGAGTTAAGTTTAAAGACTAACTCTATTTGATTCATTTTTTTCGAGTTGATTCAAATCAAATTTATTTTATAAAATCTTTTAATTTGATTTGATTTGAGTTATATAAATTTTAAACTCGACTCAATTTGAC